GTTCGGCTCTTCCTGCGCAGCCGCCACGCTCTGGGGCACCGTGAGGGAGCTTCTGGAATCTTCCCGGTGAGGCCAGTCCCCGAGGTGAACCCCGCTCACCACTGGATGTCACCGTTGCGCTGTGGTGAACTGCAGCCAGGAGAACATTTATCTGGCAGTAAAAAATAGCGTTGCCTGACCAAAGACGACATTTACTTCTGCCACATCTTAAATGACTCGCTGTACAGCCATGACAGGTTGCCAGTAACTGCTCCATAAGCCTTCCTTAAGGTACAGCGCAGCCCAGCAGCGTGGTACGCAGGCGCTCTCCACCTCCGGTAGTGAGGCTGTCCTGGAACCCTTGCCGTGGGTGTCCACCGTGGTGAGCACATAGATGGGGAGAGCCCAACGTGCCACATACTTCTTGAGGAGGCCAATGCAATTGCCATAGCTTTAAAATAAAATACTTATTCTTTGTATATTGAGTTACTCTGTCGACTAACACACAGTGAATATATTTCTACTGTAATCTCATAGGAGGAATTTAGAGGAGTTAATTTTATTAACCGTCTGTCTCCTGTTTGTAACCTGTTAGAAGAGAACCTGTTTGAAGTCTTGGAGTGCTTCCTGTCTCGGTGACACAGCAGAACTATGTAGGAGAAGTGCCTGACAAATAACAGCAGCAGCTCCATTTTGTTTGTCTCTTCAGTGCATTTCTGAATGTGCAGTTATGCATTGTGAGTGGGAGCGTGCACAACCCAAAGCAGTCAGAACCGTGCCAAGTGAGTTGTGCTGCAAGGTGGGAAGTGCTTTCCTGTCTGTCATTAAGATATTTGAAAATTAAATATAGTTCAGGGCAGAAAAGAATTGTCGAGTGCAACATTATCTCTTGTCCTCTGTGTATTTGTTGTGAGAATCTCTGTTAGCTACTGAGACCTAGAGACACCAGGTAAACAAATACATGGAATTGTCTTAACCAGTGTCTGCATTGAGAAGTACAGAAACTGAAGCTGGTAATTAAAAACTTTATAGTCAGGTTTTTGGCCCGAGTGTTGATCTCAGTGCACTGAGATATGCGTTTCCTCAGATTTCAGCCGGACTGAAAGCCAGGCTGCTCTGTATTTAAGAAAAGAGAAGGTTAATCCTATCATTTTGGAAGAGTTTTCAATGAAACATATGAAGACACTCCCAAGATGTAAGCTCCTCCTTAGAAGTAAAGCAATTTCCATGAATAAAGTAGCAAGAGTACAAACTGCTCTGGAAGGTATAGAAATGGCTTTAACGTTATGTAAATACGCTCCCCAGATGTCAGCTAATGGTAGTAAATGACAGCAGAGGCGGTGTTTCTCCTCTCTTACAAGGACTACATAGCATCTTTTCCAGGAGGAGCCAGCCCATTAAGCTCTGCTAATTTTCTGTAACCTATTAAACATGCACATATTTCAACATTGTAGTACCATTTATCTACCATTTATCTTGTGCTGTGCATAGAAAAATCACAGCATTAGTCATGCCAGTGAGCCATGGTAAGCTCTGTATGAGTGCAAGGTGAGGCATGGCTGATGGTTTCAGGATTCTCAGCAGGCTTTGGCTGGGTTCCTTTAGTGCATTTCTGTGTAATTTTCCATATTTTTTCACAGCTGAGCTATTCTTTGAACCACACAAATCGAAAGCTGGTGCTGGAATCCAAAGTGTCTGTCAACACCAGAATTGTGGTGGTTGGTGCATCCGATGTTGGAATCTCTTTTCTGGAAACGCTCGTTTTTTGGTAAGTTTTCTATTTTATTTCCTTTACTGAGAAGAATGTGTTGCCTTTTGTTTGAAGGGCTTGCTGCTTCCATTCAGAACCACGCTTTGAGTCTGTGTCCATGTGCTGGTTGTTAAGGTTGTTATCCTCTGAGTGTCTGAGGATATGCAGAGCTCCATCCTGGCGGGCTCTGGAACTCAGAAGTGCTGATAGAGCTGCTCGTAGATCCGCAGCAGGAAGACACACTGAAAATGAGATTTCCACGTACTTCAAATCTCTTTGACAGTTGTTCTTGCACAGAAATATTAGAGGTGGAGGTTAAATCCATGGCCCCTCACATGTGCTCCAAAGCAGTATTGATCTGTAAAGCCAGTTGTGCCCAGTGGGATCACAGATCACTGTCTGAATCCCTCCTGTCTCTTCCCTGTTGTGATGTGCGTTTTCAGAGCTGTGCAGTAAATGGCAGAAGCTTGTTGAGTTGTAATCCCACTGTGCTGCTTTTGAGTGTAATAACACCTTTTGATACCTTTGAGTCCAGCGCGTCTTTTGATGTTTAGGATTGTGCAGGAACCAAAGAATTGTCCTTTTAGGCCCTTGTGCTGTTTTTCCTATAGACCCTGGGGTGGTGGGAAAGGGCTAGCAGAGGATGCACTCTCCAGCAGTCTCAGCCTGCTCTGTGGCCCACCAAAAGCACAGGCCACCAGCACGTTAAAGGATTTATCAGCAGTAAAACTGCAAATCAGATTGCTGTGGTGACCTTGACTTCTCCAAACTGGAGTAAATGAACAGTCTGAACTGGTTGAGAAGGGGAATAAATCTATGCAGCTTCTTGTACCTTCCACTGCCTGAGCTAGGGTGAAGTTCTGTTTCAGAGACTTCCCACAGTTAGGACGAGGTGCCCCCTCCCTGGTACCTGACTTCTTGCATTTCTGTGCTGTACCCCCTCCCTGGCTGTTGTGGGGGGCTATGGGGAAGTCAGGCTCTATGTGAGAATGCAAGTCCTTCTGTGCAGTTGTTGTTTTCCTCATAAATTAAACATACATCCCAGAAATGTCTGGAAAGACTCACAGAATGAATGTGGCATTCAGATTGTGAATGTTGTAGTTACAGCAGCGCATCCGGTGCAGCCCGGGGAGGCTGGCAGAGAACTGACAGTTCTGCCTATTTTTGTCGGTTGAGTCAAGAGTTTGTGTTTCTACAGCAGCCATGAATAACATCACAAATTAAAATATCAATATGGGAAGAGAAGCAAGTGCTGAAGCGCTTTGTGGATGTTGTTACAGTGCTGGAGCAGGGGAAAAAAGATACCGGCTGCTTGCTCTTTTTCCTTAGTTCCTGACTGCCTGCAGAGCTTCCCCTCTTGGGGTAAAATCCCTTTCCTCTTATCCTCCTGTGCCACTCAAAACTCAGTTAAAAATGCACTTTCCAGCTATCAGCCATGTTCCTGTTGCCCACCCCGTGCTGTATTACTGCACTTTCAGCATGAATTGCTGTGAGGAAAACCAATGCACATCGATGCTCTGAATGTGTAGGCCAGCAGCAGGGTCCCTGCAGTGAGCAGGGCATGAGAGCCTGTCTGCAGCACTGCACCAATGGGTGCTCCTGCTTGGGAGAACCTGAGCCTTGCTCTCAGACCCAAGCAGCAAAGAGGCAGCATTTAGTGCAGAATGCCCTAGCATTGATATTCATATATGTATGAACTTCAGAAAAAGTATGTTTTAATTTTCACATCAGCAGCAGATCAAGTCTCCTGATTAATGTGCAGGCCTTTAAATACAATTTGGTTTAATTTACTCATATTTTTCTAATATTCCTTGCAGTGGTTACGTGCACTAAAAATAGCCAGATTGAATTAATTTGTAAGCCCCTAATCCTGAAAAAGAGGAAGTAGTTTTCTCCTCATTATTCTTCATACTTAATTATTTTACATGCTCAGTCACCATGGAAACACACAATGTAATTCACTTACCAACAGAACAGTTATTAGAACTCCGTGTTACAAGTGGTTTCAACTTTTTTTGTGACTGAAGAAATTCATTTCCCATTGAACAGAGGGAGCATCCTGAGCACTGCCTCTCAGCAGCCTCTGCTCCCGTTGTGCTGGGCAGGGCCCTGCAGCGTGTCTGCTGCAGCGCTGAGGTGGTCACCCTGTCACCGTGCAGCTGGGGCACCCCTGCTTATCCACCGCCACTGACAACAAGCCTGACAGTCCCTGCTTGCAGAGGGGTGTGTGGTGTGTGGTGGCACTGACACAGGGTGCCCAGAGAAGCTGTGGCTGCCCCATCCCTGGCAGTGTTCAAGGCCAGGTTGGACACAGGGGCTTGGAGCAACCTGCTCCAGTGGAAGGTGTCCCTGCCCGTGGCAGGGATTGGAGCTGGGGGAGCTTTAAGGTCCATTCCAACCCAAACCAGTCTGGGGTTCTGTATGTGCTGTAAACTGCTGTTTCAATGCTGCTTCAGTCTCCCACTGTGGCTCACTGCCTTGCTGCTGGAGTTTCTGGAAACAGGTTGTCACAGAGGTCAGAGCACTGGTGCACCCAAATTGGTGCCCGTTGTTTCAGAGGGCAATGTGGAACTGCTGCAGATGAGTGTATGGAATGACCTGCTAGCAGGAACGCTTCTTCCTGATGCTCAGGGTGCTCTGAGCCCTGGAGAATTGAATCAGTTGTGCTTCATCTAGTGCTAGGTCAGCGGAGGTGATCTTACTATTCATGTTTCACCATTCAAACATATCTCTCCTGCTGATTCCTGTTCTCAGAGTGTAATCACATGCAGATATGTGTTTTCAGCCATAGTGCTGCTTTCCTTCCGGCTCAGGGGATGTTTTATTCGGGAAGCAGGGCAGTGGTGCAGGCAGAGCCCAGCCTCCTGTCTGCGCAGGGCTGGTGTGGGCATGGGTGACAAAGCGGCTCCGGAGGCTGCTGCCATCCAGCGCATGAGGGGCTGCAGCAGAGCCGAGGTGCTGTGGAGGGGCAGCGAGGAGCTGCACCATCAATTGCTGCGGGCATTAACTGCCCTGCAGGAGCGTGGCAGGCAGGGAAGGAGTTGTGAGTGCCACAGGTCCTAGGGCAGTGCAATTACATCCTTCCCATTGCACAGAGCCAGTCTTTGGGTCACTGCCCAGCCCTGAGACACAGCTTGCAGGAACTGCAGCGCAGCAGCCCCCTTGTTAAAGAGGTGCAAACCCGGCGTGATATCCAGTGCTGAAGGGAGAAGCAGGAACTGAACCAATCCCCCTTGTGAAAATGCTGCTCAGCCCAGCAACACCCGGCCCCTATTGTTCCCTGCCCTCCCCGGGAAGGCTCTTTGTGGTGAGAGCTTTCAGCTCCAGCGAGTCATCAGAGAAACTCCAAAGAGAGGTTGAGCTAAAACACAAGTTTTACTCAGTTTTAGTTCCTCTCGAGGGACTTGGCCCTATGGGGGAAAAAAACAAAGAAAGAAGAAGACAAACGACAAGGAAGAGTTTTATCAGCCATCCTAGCGAATACGTGCATGCCCCTACACTTGCAGTGCTACGAGCCACTAACACTGACAGATTGTTGTGGATAGAGACCCTAAAAAGGAGTCTGAATTTAAGACTAAAGGAAGTTTTTAAGAAGCTACACTTTTTTTTTTGTCACTGAGCTGGCGTGTGCATCTACTAAACTTACACATTAAAAAGCTGTTTTAAATACTCAACCTGCAAGTGGTCAATGAAAATTGTATCTGGAAATGACTTGTAAGTGTAAAATCTGTTTCACGAGTACAAGCTGTCAGTACCTCTGGGTCTGAGGAAAGGAGAAACGAGCTCAGTTCCGACTTCTGCAAACACCGGTTTTTGGAGGTGAAAAAAATCAGCAGGAGAAAAAACCACTGCAGTCAAAGAGTTTATTTGAAAACCTGTGAACAGCTACAAGTGGGGATGCTGAGTCCTCAATTAAACCAGTGTTCCCCATAGTGTATATCCTTAGGGGAAGGTGAGCTACAGCCCAGCTTTTTGATCCCTTCATATGCTCAAGTCCTGAGATGCTTTACAGATAACCCCAGTGCTGAATGCTCATGTCCCAGGAGGGCAGGGCCAGGTGGTGGGCTGGGTGTGCTTAGTGCTTTGGCTCTCTAAGAGCTCTGGCCGTGGCCGCAGCGTTAGGCCAGAGGACACGCGCTTAGACCCAGCCCCGCCGCTGGCTCTTCGTGGCTGAGGGCACAGCGTGCTGCCGGTGCTGGCGCTGCTCACACGGCCCCCTAGCAGCCCCCTGGCTGCGGGCACGCAGCTCCCAGCAGTGTCTTGTTGCTGGTCCCAGTGTAGTGAACCAATTAGCTCTTTATCCACCTCTTTGCATATAGCTGTGGAGAGCGGCATTGTCTCCTGATTATAGAGAAAACCCTGTTTAATCCATGATCTCGAAACCTCCTTAATCCAACCTCTGCTGTAAACAATGACTTACTCTCTGAAGATGCTGGAAATATATATAACATGCTACATGAAACAGCAATAAATGAAGGTGGCTGTGGGAAAGGGTTGTGAAATATACTTCCCTTTCCATGTGGGTGCACTTAAATAAGCATTGCATTTAAAAACCAAATGGATCAAATACATGTTTGTCAAAAGCCCAGAACTTTTTTCTTAAGGCAGAACCAGAACCTGGCCCAGGAGACTCATGAGTGTTTGTCTGCAGGACAGTGCCTCCTGTTGTGAGTTGAAGGTGTCAAAGATCAGCTTGGAAAAGGCAGGGGTTAGAACACAGAGTGTGAGAGGAGAGCCCCAGCGGCCACTCTCCGGCAGCACAGTGTGCACTGCCCTGCACATCTGGCCTGTTGGCAGTAGTTACCATAACGCTTGCTGTTTAATTAGGCTTTTTATCTTTGCATTTGTCTGAGAACATCTGAAGCTTCCATGTTGCCTGGCACTAATTAGTTGACTAATTAAATAGTTAGTGCTTACTTGCTGATCACAGAGCTAACATGTAATGAATGCTTTGGTGATCCTCATTGTTTTATACTATCTGTCTCTGCCACACGAATTGAGATACATGAGCTTCCTTTTGACTGCCTTTTTTACACACCAAGGCAAATGCAGAACAATGCTGTGGCCAACCATGTGTTCGGTGTCACCGGGCCCATGTCCTTCAGACATTGTTGCCTTCCATCATTTCTGGTGAATAGAGATCAAGTTGTGACAGAGATAAATACAACAGCTCATATCTCACCGTGTTGTACAGTCAGGATCACAAAGGCCATTGTCAGTGACTGATACCAGACGTAAACTGGGGGAGAGGGTATGGGTCAGCTCAGCCTGCCTAGCAGCCACTGACCTGCTTCTGCCAAAAGGTATCAGCATCGATACGGGGTTGGTTTATAGTTATGTTCTTGTTTTGGAGACAGCTTTCCGTTTTAAACAGATTATTTCAGCTTGAAGTACTTGCCTTTTGAACACACGCAAACATTTGTCTGAGCCCAAACTATTCTTTCACACGTCAAATTTGTAAGTGTTTGTCAATTTTCTTTTGTTACTGTTTAGATCTGAATACTCATAACTTCTTGTTGCATGTTAAAACTGGTCTTGGAAATAGTGTTTTTCTCATGAAAAGCCTGTTTCAGAATTGTCATGAGTCACAGGAGTTTCTTTAGAGTTCTGTTCCATGTGCATTGTACCCCTCCTGGTGACTGGTGATGGCATTTCCAGGCTCTTGGAGCAGCTCCGTGCCGGGTAACCTGGCTGCCCACGGTCATGCTCTGATCAGTGCAGGTCAAAGCAAACAAAGCAGCATTCCAAGAGCAAACACTGTGTGCGGGTGCTCCGGGTCTCCGCTGAAGCCATGGAGGAGATGTAGTTTTTCTGCTGTTCATGTTTGGTTTTCTTTGTTTGATGTTTGTTTCCCAGTGCTGCTGTGGAGGTGGAATAACTGAGGTCTCCAAAGCTGTCTGTAAACTGCCTGTGGGTTGGTTCTGAAGCACTGAAGAGCGTTCAGACCACTACAGGGGAGAAAAAGTTGGCTGTTGTGACCCTTCCCCCTAGTGATTAGTGTAGATTTCATAGAATCATAGAATCATAGAATAGTTAGGGTTGGAAAGGACCTTAAGATCATCTAGTTCCAACCCCCCTGCCATGAGCAGGGACACCTCACACTAAACTATGTCGCCCAAGGCTCTGTCCAATCTGGCCTTGAACACCTCCAGGGTTGGAGCATTCACAACTTCCTTGGGCAACCCATTCCAGCGACTCGCCACCCTCACTGTGAAGAACTTCTTCCTTAGATCTAACCTAAACTTCCCCTGTTTAAGTTTAAAGCCATTACCCCTTGTCCTACCACTGCAGTCCCTAATGAAGAGTCCCTCCCCAGCATCCTTGTAGGCCCCCTTCAGATACTGGAAGGCTGCTCTGAGGTCTCAGGCTATTCCTGGTCACATGTAGATCTGTATGTACTGTGACACAAGATCACTATTTGAAGGTGCTTGCTTGGTTTTTCTGAATGCTTGATGAGCTGAAATGTTAAGGTCCTTTACTGGAATGCTGGAACCCTCCAGATCCCAGGAAAGAGATGAGTCTGATGCAGTTTACATTGAAATGGGAGCTAAGAGTGCACAGGATAGGGCAATGAACTGGTGAATCTGTACTGGATGCTGTGTTAGCCAGGCTGCGCAGGCTTGCAGTGGGGCTTGGCTGGGTTGGGTGGAGCTGTAGCTTGATTGCCCTAGTACCCGTGTTACTGCATGGTGGTGAGAGCTGGGACACGTCGTGTTGTGGGGCTGGACGCCCTGGGAGCCTGGTGGCAGTGGTACCTCTGCAGTAATTGGGCGTCACTTCAGTTTCACGCGAGCCAAGGGCGCGGACGACGGGGGGAGCTGCTGGGGAAGCACCTCGTTGCGCTGGTGAAGAGCCAGGGCTAATGGCGGCGTGGTGCTCACCTTGCAGGCTGCTCTCCGCTGGGGACCGGGACTGGCGAGGCAGCTGCGCCCTCCGGGCTG